ACCAGGGGCAACTTTAATAAAAATAATTAAAATAATTACAACTTTACAAAAAGAGAGAAGTTGCCGATCTTGCCCCTATACCCGGGGCAACTTCGTCAATTTCTCTCTTCTTGTAAAGTTGTAATTATTTTAATTATTTTTATTTCCAAACTGATTTTAACCAGTTCTATAGTAAGAAAACATTCCAATAGACAATATGCAAAGCTTTTTTTTCAGTTTACAGCAGTATTTATTACACAAAATTTAAGTAAAGCTTAACATGCCGATCTTGCCCCGGTCTCCCCTATATATTGATTCTTCAATAAAAAATATAATTTTAAAAATTCTTATATTTTCTTTTTATATTTTATCTCTGATAAAATCTTAACTTAGAGACTGCCAATTATTTAAAGTTCATTTGAATAAATAATTAGTTTGTTAATAATGATTTCACAGTGAAAATATATCGGAATGTGTCTGAACAGATTTAAACTTCTTCTAAGAGCCACAAGAATATTTAGAAAAGAAAAAGAAAGATATTATTTTATCTAAACATTAAAACTGTCTATTAATAGCCTACTATTTTTACTATGGTTCGTAATCTTGAATTGTTCTAGCAATGATGTGAGATCTAAATGATACTAAGTAGAGTTATAGGCTATTGGTTCAACATGATATACAGTATTTAGATCTGTGTATATTTATATCTCTTTTTTATTAGCTAATACGTTCTTGGAAAATCTTGCGAAGGGAGCCATCGCACAAATAAAGGAAATGCAATGACTCGCTTCGCAAACCATCGCATTTCCTTTACTTGTGTTATAATTTGAGGTTATGTTCTAGAAATATATTTTAAATTATATAATATCACGCGGAAATAGCAAATAAAAAATATGCGTTTAAATATGGCACTTTAATACATAATAATAATAATAATAATAATAATGTATACTGGTTATTAAATCGTAGTTTTTTGTATTAAAATTTTATCGTCTTTAGATTTGATGAAACAGAGCATTACGTAATTTGTTATTTATATATTATACTATTTGAATAAAAACAAAGAATTTCATGGTTCAGATTACATTGCTATTATTTTTCTTGAAAGTATTCATCCATTTCTTTCTGCTTATAGTTTATATTTTATATTTAATTATATAAAAAATATTTTGTTTAGTGCAAGATTATTGTATAAAAGTCCCTAACAAAAATATACATTAAATTGTTTAATTTTTTTTACTTTTACAGTATTTTTTAATTTATTAATATGCATTTTGTATTTTATAATAAATAGTGTACTTATCAATAAGAATTAAATACTTTAAACAGCCTTTCTTGTTAAAAGTGTGCTACTTTACAGATTTTTAAAATGTATTTTTCAGTATACAGTACTTAAAACGTAGAAATGAAATATAAGTTGCTAATATTTTCACATAATTACACTTAGCTTATTTAATAATCTTGCGGGATTTGTCATTTTATAACATAAAAAATAGTCAAGCCATTCGATTTAATTTTGTTTATAACTTTTAACCTGTAGTTGTTCTTATAGGTAATTGTTTTCCTTCCTCTTTTGATATACCATTTGTTATATTTCTTATAGTAGCAGACGCTTCTTGATTGCTGAAATTTATTATATTTAAAATTTTTAAATCTACTCTTACGTCTCCATGGAACAATCCAGCAACGAGTTTCTTAACTTTTCGCCATTTAAATCTAAGTGTGGCGCCATCTGTTATGATATTTTATTTTTAAAAACTTTTTATACTAATAATTATTATAAAAAGACGAAGAAACTTAATTTTCAGGGTAGGAATGAGTTTAATATAAAAAAATTGCAAATGCTAATAACGAGTAAAATCTTCATTAAGTTCTACCCTATTCGAGATATAAACGATCCCTTCTATCTTTTACCGTCACAATTTAATAGCATCAATCCCATACCCAAACCTCCCTGAAAAATTTCAGAATCTTTCGACAAAAAGCACAAGGGTTATTAACCTTCAAAGTGAGTGAATAAAATTGTGTCCCCACACACTATAACATCATATTACATACAGAACTCCCCCCAAATTGTTTGCATTTCTCGATGTTTCAAGGTTCCCTGAGTCAATAATGTGAAAATCTTAGGGGTCATTTATTGACCGATCGATATACTTTTCCTCTGTTATATATAAGAGAGCCGAAAAACTAAAAAATGAAGTTCTTTTCTTTAAGAATTTTCTCATTTTTCAATGCATTTTAGCATACATGTTGGAGGCATAATCGCTTAAGCTGCATTAAGAAAAATCTTCCAAATAAATAAATACATAAAATAAGAAACTTCCAAAAAGAAATAAGAAACTTCCGATTTTAGGTATTTAGCAGTGACATTACTATTAAGCACGGCTAAGAGACTGTTAATTAAGGGCTCATGACATAAGGGGTACTAGACTGGGTCTCAGACACCGTTTTTACGGAGTAATATAAATATAAGAATGATTTTAAATTATACAAGAAAAATATTAATTTTTTTTGTTTTTTTTTCTGTTTAGGAACGATTAATTTTAAACGTATTTTATTTGGACAGTTTTTACGGTTTATTTTTCCGATAACGCATAATTTTGCAACAGTGCAACATGATTAAGTGTGACTCTTGTAAGTAAGCCGACTTTTAGAGAGATCAATTAATTCCGCGTCAGGATGAACCTAAGGGATGTTCGCGTGTGAGTGTGTGTGTGTCTTTGAAGATCGGGGACTATATCAATCTCCGTTCTTCTTTTTGTCTATTCTCATTGGCTCCACATCCCTTTTCCCGCTCCCTCGTCTGTCCCTAAGCGGAAGACAAGACTTGTTTGGGTCACGAGAAAGGTCCGCTTCGGAGAATCTACCCGACACCATTCGTTAACTCTGGACGGAAGATGCTGATGGGAACTTTGAAACCTGCGTTCATATTGCTAAATTTATTGACAATATATGGTGCTATGTGTAAATCATAAAATTGAATGTAGATAGAAATTAATTGATTCATAGATATTCGATAGATATTTTGGGATGAGATGTACGACATGATCTAACAAGTAAGTTAGAAGTATTTAAGTGGAACAAGTTTCGTAACAATTGATCGAACAGCCCAGGAGTATATAGCAATACAAACAAACAAACATTTTCATATACTGTATGTATAAATAACATGATTCCTTCATACTTATGAAACAGTTTAAACACAGCATCCGTGTTCTTCAATGAAACGTTTTAGCATTTTGCAAATATCCTTACATCTGTGTTGACAAAGTTGCAAAGGAAGATTAAGACAACTGTAGTGTGTGTATATTTGGTGTACCAAAGTTCCTTTACCGCCATTCGAAAACATTGAGTGACGTTTCCACTTTCCAGGACGAGGACCTAAGGGTTAAGAAAGTATCGTTAGAAAACATTTTTTCAGTTTACAGCAGTATTTATTACACAAAATTTAAGTAAAGCTTAACATGCCGATCTTGCCCCGGTCTCCCCTATATATTGATTCTTCAATAAAAAATATAATTTTAAAAATTCTTATATTTTCTTTTTATATTTTATCTCTGATAAAATCTTAACTTAGAGACTGCCAATTATTTAAAGTTCATTTGAATAAATAATTAGTTTGTTAATAATGATTTCACAGTGAAAATATATCGGAATGTGTCTGAACAGATTTAAACTTCTTCTAAGAGCCACAAGAATATTTAGAAAAGAAAAAGAAAGATATTATTTTATCTAAACATTAAAACTGTCTATTAATAGCCTACTATTTTTACTATGGTTCGTAATCTTGAATTGTTCTAGCAATGATGTGAGATCTAAATGATACTAAGTAGAGTTATAGGCTATTGGTTCAACATGATATACAGTATTTAGATCTGTGTATATTTATATCTCTTTTTTATTAGCTAATACGTTCTTGGAAAATCTTGCGAAGGGAGCCATCGCACAAATAAAGGAAATGCAATGACTCGCTTCGCAAACCATCGCATTTCCTTTACTTGTGTTATAATTTGAGGTTATGTTCTAGAAATATATTTTAAATTATATAATATCACGCGGAAATAGCAAATAAAAAATATGCGTTTAAATATGGCACTTTAATACATAATAATAATAATAATAATAATAATGTATACTGGTTATTAAATCGTAGTTTTTTGTATTAAAATTTTATCGTCTTTAGATTTGATGAAACAGAGCATTACGTAATTT